GAGCAACTGTAGAATAATGATTTGTTTTTTCTTTTGTTCAAATACCTAAGCCAACAAAAATAAAGAGCAATTTTAACACCAAAATATTGTCGAATATCTTCTAGAAATGATTAAAAAATAATAATAATTTCTAACAAAAACAAAAAACTCAATGGTATATTTTACCAATAGGTTGACGTTTAAAAAATGTGTGTGGCCAAACCCATGTGTCACGAAGATGATTTAATGTTTGTTTATTATGTAATGGAATAACTTGTCGAATTAAATGCTTTTCTAAACTACGTTGTACTAAAGAAAGAGAAATTGATTTCGAATGAAAAGAGAAAAAAAAAACTCTATTGAAATATGCATGAAATTACTTAATGATTGATCAATTTTAAATTCAATTCCACTGATTACTTGTTTTTGAATAATTTTTATTGAAAAAAGAAGATGTCGAACGATTAATTGTCGTTCTTGTGAAGTAAAAAATTTATCTTCATCTTGAACACCTAAATTAAAACAATAAACAAACAAAAATTTACTAAACATAAATAATAAAATTATTTTTTACCTTCATAAAATTCTAATTCATCAAAAAAAAATATTTTATATCCACCACCAAATTCTTGTTTTATTGGTTTTTCTAATTGAAGATCATCAGCACCTTTCAAAAGTCTATACGATAAGAAAACAAAATCCAGAATAAAAATCTACGAATTTTGAGAAATATGAGTACTTTAAAAAAATTTGTACAAAAAATTCGACTCAATGCCATGAAAAATATTTGACAAGTCTATTCGACATTATATCAGCCTCTACTAGTAGTATAATCAGATATGAACTAGAAGAAGTTTAGTCCTCCTCCTCTACAAACGTCTGAGTTTCGCTTAAAGCACAAAGAGCAACTGATTTTACTAATAAGCTATTATAAAATGAAATTAAACCAAAAAAGTCAATGTTTTCTAAATGTTACACTATCAACGATGCCTATATCATCGATCGAAAATTCTCAATCTATTGAAATAATTTATTCTAAGAAAAATATTAAGATTTCAATTCAATATATATGCAGTTAAAAATTGTTCATGCAACTTTAAAATTCCGACATGCATATCATTATTAATCATTCTTCATGTACTATTGCTTATATAAGCTGTAATAAATATTCACCTTTCATAAGTAAATGTGACATAAAATCCATAAACACCTATTTATAAATAATAAAAGAAAAAAAAAAATTTTATTTATATTAATTTATTCAAAATATTGAAATATTCTTTTTTTTCACCGGTCGTAAAATGATATTTAATCGATATACGAATATCTGGCGCTAGTAGAAGTAATTGTTCAAGAAACCAAATAACAGCATAATCATCAATATTAGCTGGAAATGTTAATAAAACATCACATTCATAATTTGTATGAGCATTGAGCCATAAACGATTTGTTATAACTGATGAAAGAGTATTAAATCTTCGACGAAATAATGAATTAGCTAAAATAATATCGAATTAAATGATTTCAAAAACAATAAAATCAACAAAACATATATATGTTTTGTTTTGTTTTTAATCATCTACCATTTGTCAATTGTTGATTTATTATTTCTTTTTTATCATTTGTTAAACTCATCTAAATAGAATAAGATCTCATAATTTTCTTTTCTCCTTAAAATAAACAGATATCAATGAAAATGTTTAGTATAGATGACATGAATTTAAAAAAAAAATGTTTTGTTCACAATCAGATCGTGTAGTACAGACAGAAAAAGAAATAGAAGAGAAAAATATATGTATATAAATATATATTGCTCACTAACCACTACCAGGTTTTTTAACAAAAGGATAAGAAAAAAACAAACGAACGAAAAATGGATTGATTGAACATCATCTGAACATGTGTTTGAAATATAAGGGCGGAAAAAAGATTTTCATATTAGAGTCTTTTTTTCTGTAACGCAATAGTTTTAATTTTTGTTATTTGTCGTTGAAAGATCAAAGAACAAATGTATTTTTTTTATTTTTTATTTTGTTTAAGAAGACCAACAAAATCCAATATAAGTTGTTGTAATTCATTGGCTTTTAATTCACTTATACGAATAACATCTTCATGAAGTGCTTCAACTGTTGAATCATATTCTGATAAACATTTATTTGTTATTAAGGCAAGACCAAGCATACGGAAACCACAATGAGCTCCTAACGTGACTTCATGCACTACTGACATACCTACAAAAAAACAAAAAAAAAAGATAATTTCCGGAAGTTAATTTCTAATAGAAAATAAATAAGATTTATTCCGGTTTAATGAAAATTATGATAAATTTCCTTCCTTCATTTTCCTTATTATTATATGAAATAAGTTCTTTTTCTTTATTTTTGTTAAATCAAAAGAAAAAAAAAAATTTTTCTTCTTACCAACAGCATCACAACCAAGTAATCTAAGCATGTTGATTTCTGCTATTGTTTCATAACAAGGTCCACCTTAAAAAATGTGAAAATATTATTATTATCGTTAAAAATATAAATTTTATTTACCTAATGCACAATAAATTCCTTCACGTAATTCAAGATTATGCTTTTTAGCAACTTGTTTCATTTGAGATGAATATTGACGATCATATGCATGACCAACAGGTGGAAAACGTGGTCCTTTTTGAATAATTTTACATATGAAAATTAAAAATTCGAAAATAAAATTATCTTACCAAATCTAAAGTAAAATTTAATTAAAAAAATAAAAAAAAAAGAAAGATAAATTTATTATTAATTTATTTTTCTTACCGTTCATCATTATGACCAATAAGTGGATTATTACCAGCCATACTAGGAAAATTTAAATGATCTTTAATTAACATTATATCACCAACACTATAATCTTTATTAATACCACCAGCAGCACTAAAATTTAATTAGACAAAAAAAAATCAAAAACAAATTAGGAATAAAAAAAAATTATATAAAAAATCCAACCAAGTAACAATTAATGTATGTGCTCCAAGCATGCGCATCACTCGTACTGGAAAAGCACACTAAAAATAGAAAATAAGAAAAGTTTTTTAATTATCTAAATTATTCTTTTGTCATGAAAGTTAAAGCATATAATTTGTTATTGTATTTTAGATAAAATTATAATTTCTGGCATATACTACTGGAAATATGTGGTGATAACTTATATTTTAAACATATCATTACTATAAAAAGATATTCTCATAGCTCATATTCTGAAAGTTCTTAAAGTTGTCTATCAGCGTTTATATTAATATTTTAGTCGCTGATTATATAATAGAAAAAAAGATCAAGTGCAATTAAAGTGCCTGTATTAAAATAGATTCTTACGAATTTAATCTTGTCATTGCTTGCTCTAGTTTTTTTACCACTAGAGAAATATCTTTTCAAAAAAAAATGTAATTATATATTCTAATAGAGTTTGAAATTCTCTATGATTCTGCATATTCTTCAATGCTTTTGCATTTATTTATTACAGCATATAAATGCAAGGCAAAATAAATATATGGCGAATTTCAAGTTCTATTAGAATATAGAGTTATTTTTTCACGGAAGTACTGAGAAAACAGTGACAAAATTCAATTCGTAGGAATCTCGTGACGAACGTATTTTCAATGTATTTGATTTATTTTCTAGTGTATAGACAAAACCTAAAATACAACTATACAAGTTGATAGAAAACTTCAATAGTTTTCAGAATATGTGATAATTCTTTTGTGTAAAATATCTTTTTTTTATAGTGACAAGGCGTTTAAAATACAGCCTGACACTATTCATTTCCGGGATTATATATATGTCAATAAAATACAAAGTTAATCAAGATTCTCTTATATTTAATAGGAAAATTTGATTTCTATTTACTGTGGCAGTAGTATATCCTTCATAAGGATGAAATCGACCTTGCATGCAAACAACATAAATTCCATTCAATGCTCCAAATACAAGATTGCTACGATGACCAACAACTAATAGAAAAAAAAGAGACTTTTTTATTTAATTTTTAATAAGTAAAAATCTTTTTTTTAATTGAACCTGTTGATTTCGGAAAATGTGGAATGTCAGCATAAGGAATAACAATTTTGTTGACAACTAGTTCAGCCAAACCGCCAAGACCAGAACCACATATAATAGCTATTTCAGGTTTAGTTGGAACAATATTTTGAATAAATGCAACAATTTCTTGAACACGTTCATATGTGTAAAAACTGAATACAAAAACCCAAATCATAATAACAATACTTTATTCTATTATTATATTTACCGATTCGTTATTGCATTTGGATGTTCACCAACAGATGCCCATGGACCTTGTTCTGCAATTAGTGCTGATTCAATTGCTGTTTTAGTACTACTATTCGACATAGTTAAATCTGAATTTTAAAAAAAACAAGCAAAAAACGAAAAGTGGAACAAGTAAAATAAAAGTTCACATGCACTTATATGAATAGATAAAATCTCCAATGTCACGGTGATTAACAGCAGATGAAAGTGATCGACAAAGGATCAAATCTCGACCGTCCTTTTTTTTTGTTTTCTTTTTTTTCTTCTCGTGTTGTTATATGTCTTGTTCTATCTCTATCTTTCTTTCTTTCTTTCTCTCTCTCTTTTTATCAAATGCTATTTTGAATTGCTTCTTGGTATTCATCTATTTATTATAGCTACGAGCTGAATGTAAATAGAAGGAAAAAAGAAAAATACTAGGGATATGCCTATATGTGTAATGCGTGTGTGAACTACTTGTGTTTTATTATTGAGAACATAAAAGGCAAACAACGCATGGGTAGTGCATGTAACTAGGCGCAAAAAAAAACAAAAACATGGATTTTAAATTGTTAATTTCATTGTATGTATATATGTTTTAACAAATGGTATAACAAGATAACAAACATTATTATTTTTGAAGTCATTAACAAAATTTTTATATAACAACAACAACAACAGGAAACATGTATTCTATATCTAACAAAGAGAAAAAAAAACCTTTTTTTCTAACATAATTATCTGATTCTTTTATTGAGCAAGACCAAGATGTGATTGAATAACATCAATAAAATCTTGTTTTTTAGTACCTGATGCTTTTAATTTTTTATCTCTACAATAATCTTTCAATATAGGTATAGTTAATTTACTTAACTAAAATAAAACAAAAATAAAAATAATTTCTCCATGTGAATTTTGTTTTGACATACCAGATGACTCTTTGCTGCAGCTTCAACATCAATATTTTCATCATCTTTTGATTTTTTTGCACTGCCAGGTGAACCATTTGTTTCACACTTAAGATAATTAATAATAAAAAAAAATGAAGAAGATTAAACAAAAAAGATAGAAAATCAACTTATTATAACAATAATACTCATCATATTCATTCGTAAAAAAGAATTATTCAACTATTTTTTTTTCATAATATATATAAATATAGATTTATTGAACTATTTATTATTCTTTTCATCCTAATACTTTAAAATATTAAGGAACCTATTAAAAGAAAATTTTATATTAATAATTTATAAGTCGTAATTTTACGCAAAAATACTTTATAATGCTGATATCATTGAATTTGTTACTATATGCGCATAATAAATGACGATCGTAAAAAGTACGCTGATAAAATAGAATTTATTTTTATCTGTGTCAAGATAAATTTTATTTTTATCTATATAATGATAAATTTTATTTCGTTTTTTCGTATAACACATGTAAGACATGTGTCTATCACCAAATTTTAAGTGAATTAGATAAATGATCTTAAAAAATTCTATTAATTGTTATAAAGATTGACCCATAAAGAATAAAACATTTTTCAGAGTTTGTTTTCATACCATTCAATAGAGAATGTTTTTGCTCTACGAAAATCTTTATTCTATTTTTTTTATCAATGAAAAATTACATAGATTCAATCAGCCGACGATTGCCTGTAGACACTTAAAGGTTTGTGTTAATCTAGGTTAATCAAGTTTGATGCTAAAAGTAAAGCATTTAGCATCAGTATATAGAACATTTTTTTGTATTCTCGGTTTCTATTATATTTTTAAAGTTCTCGTTGATATTTCACAGAGCTAAGAGCTAGTCATATTTTAAATGTATTTTTGAATCATAGCATTGACTTATAAGAAAAGAATCTTTTGTGATATTTTTGGAAATTTTGAAAAATACATCACAAGATGCGCAGAATCGTAATTTAACAAATTTTATCAACTTGTGACTATGACAGTTAAATGATGGAGTAGCTTTCAGTCATGAGAATCTATCAAATGGTACATAAAGATAAACGGTGTTTGCCCTGGATGTAGCTGTGGGCGAGTAAGTACATAAAAACAAACCACTCCCGTACGTAGTTTTTCAACTTGTAAAATTTACAATGATTACGACCCTATTTGAATGGCGCAGAATGATAAAGCAAATAATTGTGTACGTCATTATTTTGTATGAAAACACGTTTTTTGTGCCTTTTGTAAAGTTGTTTATGTATCTTGGCTTAAAAATATCGAACCTTTCAATTTGTAGATAATTGTTTGGTCAATCATTCTTGCTAATTGTAAATTCTAGGAGATGAAAAATTTTGGTTTTTCAGAGATCTTACCCTCGAGAAACTGACAATCATATTTTGATCTTCAAAACTTTTCTTATTGAAAATAAAATTTTCTACAGATAAAAGAATTCTATCAAAAGTAAATGACGTACACTAGTACTTTTCAAAAAAAATAAAACTTTATGACATTCATTTGTTTGTTGACGAAACCTATAGAAGCACTTCAAAGCACAAAAAAAAATACAAATCATATTCGTTTGTTTTTTTTACACTAGTTTTGAATGTAGAGCAATAATAATAGACAAAACGATCAACGAGTCGAGTGTAATCATTAAATAATGTCTAAATCAAATCTATATCACATTATCATCAACAAGTAATCTCGGATGATAAATTTCAAGTTTTTTTTACAATAATTAATATATCTCAATTCAATCTTTCAAACAAATTTAAACAAACCTTTCGTTTTGCTGCTGATTTTTTTGTTGCACCCATAACATAACCAGGTGGAAAAATCATTTGTTTAAGGTCATCAATATATCCTGCAACTTTTCGATTTTGATTTTCTACACTTGGAATTGTTAAATCAATAAATTCATCGGGTTCACCTTTATTTAAAGCTGTTGCTTCAATATTTCTCCATAATGTTTGTAATGCTGGATTTTCAAATTTATCTGCACGATATTTAAATTTTAAACCACGTACAACATTTTTAAATAAATCAACTTCATCATTTGCTGCACGTGTTGTATCATTTTTAGGTAATGTACGTATATCATCAGCATATGGTAAATAATGAACATGAAAACCATTCGATGCTAAACGATCATTTTTAACCCTTTTATTCATTTCTTCACCCTGTGGTATAAGTGCAACTGAAGAAAAATAAATAAATAAATAAATGTAAAAAAAATAAAATATGACTATCGGTTATTTTTTTTTTGTTACCAAGACGTGGTGGTGTATTTCGTCTAGCTGAAAATTGACATAGAATAAACATTTTTTTTTCTAAACATTTTTTTAATAGAGCATTAAATAAACATGAACTTCCTTCAACATATTTTTCATCGGGATAAATGAAATGACCTGGTTTTACATAATGATGTGGTGATAAACATGAAAGACTTTTAAAACCAAGTAATTCAAAACCTGGATCACCGAATTTTTTTATTGCTTTTATTTCATCTGAATCAAATAATATACGACGATTTGATACATCTAAACCATATTGAATATCTGACGGCATGAGAATTTCAGCTAGATAAACAAAGAAAAAACAATAGAAAATTTTGCTTTTCTTTTGATAATTATTCAAAATATTTGTGTATAAACCTGTTTCAGGAAGATAATGTTTTGTAACAATTTTTGTTTCCAAATTTGTTTTCATATCTAATTTAATCTTTGTTGGTTTTGGACATGGACGAACCTATTAAAAAAAATTAATCTGGATTTTGCAATTATTCATAGACATTTAATAGCAAATCAATGTTCTTGTCTTAGAAGTCTTTCTATCGATAATAAGACTCTTGCCACAACACAGTGATAAATAGCAGGAGTCCACGTGAGATGTGATGGGACGAAAAATTTCTCAACACAATGCCCCTCTATTTTGACCGATTAAGAGGACAAGTAGAAATTTTAAAATCTTGAGTTAGGATCAGAATTGTGTTTTTTCCCAATCTAAGTACGACTCATAAGTTAGTATTTGAAAATAAGGTTTGGAGTGGTTTTAATGCACAAAAACTATTTAGAATAGAATTAAAATTTATTTCAAAAATATCAAACGGAAGAGTAAATATTTGAGACCTTACAAAGATTAGCTTCTAATCCCTAATCTATGGATTCCACAAAAATTCTGATTCTAATTGAAAGTTTTGAAATTTCTGCTGGACTCTTAATCAGTCAAAATATGTAAACACATTTTATATTTCACAATTCTATCATCCCTAAGTTCATATTTCGGCAAGAAAGATGTCTATTTCGAAAAAATTGTATTATCTTTATAAAAAAAAAGATTGTTGTAAAAGACGTTCGTTCCATTCAACGCGAAGCCCTGATAGATAGGCTTTCTTTAATTCCGATAGGTGTATATTCATAGGCGAGAATGTTCTGAATTTAGGGTAGACTCAACCAATTGAAACAAAGTTAATTCTCATTATTCAATTTCAATTGTAGAACGAGGAGTTTTCGATCTATTACACTAAAAAACAGAATAATAGTGTAGCAGAAATGTTCACAAGAAACAAACCAGAATCACATTGCAGCTTTGTTGAAAATGTCTATTAGATATGTTAGTTTAATCATTGAAGGCGAAAGAAATATTTGAGAAGTTTATAATTAATGAAATGAATCAGACTAGAATTTTACATTGAACATATAGAAGAAGAAAATCTTAACAGGATTCTTCATAAAGAGAGTTAGAAAAGAATAGAGACAAGATGATTAAATTGTAATATCAGAGATTTACATATTTCATGAAAGCAGTTTTAATTCTTTATAATCGTATTTAAGACTGATTGTTTTAATCATTGCGTTTTTTGTTGCTCTAGTAAATCCTTTCCGTGATAGAATTGACAAGTCAAAATATAAATTTGTTCTCATCTCGTTAACAGAATAAATTTGATTATATGATTTACAGAATACAAAAAGAAACATAGATGATGAATGATAATAAAAACAACTGAGCATATTACAACGCAAAATCTTATTTGATTTTAATATTTTTTCTTTTCAGAAAAAGTTTATTTCGTTAACAAATGATCGTAACTACGATGACTTATAAAATTTATTTTAATAACTTCAGGAATGAGCATATAAACGAAGAATCAATTTTTCTGAATATTCAGATACTTACTATGAATATTTTCCTTTTTCGCAACACACAATTAGCGGCGAAATTTTGAAGAGTATTTTTAAATAGGAAATGAATTGTAATTAGAAGAAGAAGCAGTAGAAAACAGATAGGGTGTAATGATCTGCTACGAAAAACATACTAATTTTCTATAAAAATGAAACATTATATATCTGAAGCTTTCAACAAATTTACAGTTGTCATCGTTAAGAAATAACAAACAGAAAAACACGTATAATTACTATATTTATATATATATAGTTGTCAGCGAGTGATAAGATCTCATGTCATCAATCATTTAGGAAAAACCGATGGTTAGCTGCAGTTCTTGAAAAAAAATCTCGATTCGTGTAGTCGATCACTTAATTTTAGAATTTGTCTATTAAACTAAAATTTTCTGTCTTCAAAAGATTGATTGCTAAGTCGATTTGAATTTTCTACATTATATTTTGATAGATGGCGCCATCTTTAATAAATAATCAAACTTGGAAACAGTCGATGTGTCTAGTACAGTCACTATTACAAAGAAGTAGAATTTCAATTGAAATCTAACATTTTTCTAAGAATTTAAAAATATTCATGCAGTGAAATATAAAAAATGATCAAAGAGAATCGCGGTTTGTGCAAGACACGAGAAGTGATGTATTTGAAGAAGCCGGCTCTTTCTAGAAAGTTGTTTTTTTTTTTAATACTAGACCTCCAGGAAGACAGAAAATGCAAGTTAACCTCGACCTATTTTATGGGTAGTTCCTATGGATCTATACTTTATATTAGTCTTTTGTTTTTTTTTCTTTGAACAATTAAAAAAAAAGTGAAACTTAATACAGTACCATATTATAAACTGAAACAGAAAATCCCAATGGTGTACCATCAGCTGCTTTGCCTAATGAAAATGGAACCGTACAATAAGCACGTTTTTTATGTTCTTTTGAATAAACAAGTTTTAATAATTCATTTAATCGTCCTGTTGGTTCTTGATTATTTCTAATATCAAGATCTTCATCACTTAACATAAGAACATCTTGAAAAAATTTTTTAAAATCAAATTTTATTATTGTTTCTGTTAATATTGGAAATACTTCTAATTGAATACCAACATCATTTAAATCTTTAGCACGTTGTTTAGCTTGTCGTTCTAATGTTAAATTTGATGCATGTGGTTGATCATTACATGTAAATATAAATATACGTTTTACAGTTAAACGTTGTGGTGAATTTGAAAATAAATTTGAACATGTCCATAAAGCTTCATTTAATGAATAACCAGTTGCTTGTGTTGAACCAAATAATTCATCATATTTTGTTTTATATGCATCTTTATCTGATAATGTTTCTAATTGTATAATACGTTCAGCTGATGGTTGTGCTAATTCATGAAGTATATAAATATGTTTAAAATCAAATGCATTAAGACTATTTTCTGTTCCATAAAGAATAATTCCACTAAGATCTTTATCATTTGAAATTATTTTTGATTGATAAAAACGTTGACAAGCACGCATAACTAATTGAAAACCTGTTGTTAATTGTGCATCTTCATCATCATCATCAATCGATGAATCTTGTTTCATTTGATTAGCTAATCGTTCAAACATGTGTGGTGCACATTCAATTAACATTAAAGTACCATCACGAGATGTTGTAATCTAAATATATACATATAAAATAGTGTTTTTCGTATTTACTTAATAATAATATTAATAAATTAGATTTATTTTTGTTTACTTGTCGTCCTTGTTGATTATCATCTTGTGCTTCATCATCAGCATTACCACCAGCACTCCAATTTTGATCAAGTAAAGACATCTGAACGAAATTGAATTAATCTAATATCGATTTTAAAAATCAATGAAATAAAATACAAGAAGAACAATAGACAAAAGACTAACTTATGATTGGATAATCGAGACTAGAAAAATTTCATAGAGAGGAAAAATAGCGAAAGAGAATGACATCTGCTGATATAAAAAGTCAGCGACATCATTTAGAAATATTTTTTTTTAATTTGTTTAATGGATAATATCATCTAATATTTTAACGTTTTTTAATTCAAAGAAATTCATCGATGTTTATCTCCTATCGTTGAAAAATGATGGAGAATGACTTTTTTTTTCTTTTGTGTGTGATAAATGACCGTTCCGCTTCATTTGCTATATTTTGTCGTCGAGAACAATCCAGTCACAATATTGTTATTCACTCGTTATTTATCCTTCGACGCGATTAGAAATACAGTGATGTTAAACATCCCATTCTTTGTCATTAATAATGATTATCTAGGATGATTTATTCTGTGTTTAGTAAATATTTATAGTCGTAGCTAGAGGATTAGATTGGCAGATTGTCTAAATGAAATATATTAATAATTCAAAATGAAATTTAAACTCTATTAGAAAGACTTATTTAATATGCAATGGAAAATGTTGAGATTAAGGTTTTTTAACGTTAATTTAAATACTAGGTTTTTTAGTCTGGAAGAGTAAAATTCTTTTCAACATTGAATATTTTTTTCATTGATTCGACGAGTGAATCGAAATATTTTCGATAGATTTTTAAAAATTCATTGCAAGCGTCGTCTCACATTATACAAATACTTGACTAATTTGTTTTTCAAATTTCACTCTAGTCAACAAAAAAACAATTTAATTCATATTTAATAAATTTCCAAAATCTATTTTATGGTAAAAATAAACTTTTTTTTTTGTAAAGCAATATATAATAAGTTATATGGGGAATATAGATAAATATATATGTCTTTTGTTTTTGTTTTGATATTGAATTTATTGTATAAGAATTTTAAGCAAGTGATAATTGTTGAGGTGTAGCAAGTGGTGTTGTATTTAAATAACTTGTATCAATATCCCAACTATGAGGTTGATCAACTTCAGCATAGAAATGACGTTGTGTTGGTGCAATTTTACTATGATAATCAATTAATTGTTGTTCTTGTAATGATGTTTCCAATGTAATTGGTCGTATAAGACGTAAATGATTAACTATATAATCTGGTGGAACTTTCCAAAGTGCCAGAAGATAACAACCAATTAATACACCAGCACTTCCTTTACCACGAATACATTCGACGACAACACCCTGAAAAAGAAAAAAACATACAAAAATAAAATTATAAATCAAAGAATAAAAAGAAAAAAAAAGTGAGAATTAACCTCTTCACGTTGTCGAGCAATTTCCATTCGATGAACAAATTGTTGACATTGTTGCATAGTTGGTGCTCCACCATCAGGAACATTTAATGTATGAACATGTAAATCAGCTCGAGATTGATTTGGTATTCCAGAACTGTATGTATCACTTATAGAAATAACTGTATGAATACGTTGTTCAAGTAAATATCGAATATGTGATGCATGAAATGGATGAGCACATATAGCTAAACGTTTATCAATAATCCATTGAAAATATGGTGGCATAGACGCTTGATTATTCATTTCTTTTTTTTTTTGTAAATATTTTGTTTCTATGTTTTCAAAATGAAATTTTATAGTAACAATAATAACATCGTATAAAAATTGTTCTTTCTTTATCCTTTGCCGTTGTTAAGTTACAACCTCCTTACAAATCACATATAAATGATTTTTTTCTAGTTTGATGAAAGAATGAATAATGTGAGAAAAAAAGAACTTATCAAAGATAGATTCATATGTCAAATGATTACTTTTATAATGAAAATACGTTTAAGCAAATGATAATGAAATTGAAAGAGGTCATCAATCATTAAACAATTGCTCAGTCGATAAAAACTGAAACATTTGTTTTTCTACGATAAAGTGTATACTGAGACTTTCGATTTTGATCATCAGGTGTTTTGCTTGCCATCTTCGTCTTAACCGATGGCCGTCAGATGGACGCATTGTACGTTCTTATCCAAGATTAAGTGTAAGAAATTCTGTCTTCATACATGTCTAGCCACTACATATCTGTCAACTGATAGTATATCATTAAATTATCTTTCGATAACGTAGAGTATTTTTTTTCCTATTGGAGTAGAATGAGAAAAATATTATACACTTAATAAAATAAAACTTTGATCTAATCGGCATTTATCATTTCTAATGATTCTCATTCTGATTAGAGCCTGTTGGCTTGATCCGGGATCGAATCAACGGATCATACTCTAAAAGTAACAGATAATTATAACTTGATTATTATAAAAATCATCGGTCAGATTATTTCAGAAATGTGTACGGTGTGTTATTAGCAGGATACAGATAATCGATAAAAAGTATCTCGAATTTTCAGAGCGACTATCAGGCATAGACTAAAAGACTTTGTTGAACTTAAGAGTACGGTCCGTGTTCGGCTCCGAAAATTTTGAACCCGACGGGCTCTAATCTTGATTATCCTTTGGAATCTATGCTATTTTGTTCTTGTTAGAAATTTATTTTTAAGATTGTTTAATTCATACACATTATATGCAGTCTTCGTAAGTTATGGGTACGAGAAAGGACTTGAGATTTATTCATGATTAAGTAGAAAGAATCAATATATTCAAAAAAACAAAAAAGAAACTGATTTATATATTTATCCAAGTTCTTTTTGTTTCGATGGTACTTTAATTGGTGAATTTGGTACATCCGGTAATTGATTGATCATTCGTGTTGTTGAATACATTGAAGATAGAACTTGAGCATTTCGAGTTCGAATTTCTGTTGTAATTGAATTTGTAAATGATTTAATAAATTCTGCTACATTTCCACCTTTGAAATGATTATATTTGAATTTAATCAAATCACATATTGTTCTTGTTTTTTTTCTATTTTTATCTCCTATTTGAATAATATGACCAGATATATGAAGTTTTTTCGAACGCCATAATATTTGTGTAGCATGTATAGATTCTGCTTTACCAAAATTATTACCACCATCAGTAAGTATAAAAAGATATAAAGATAACATTTGATTACCAAGTAATGTTTTTAATTGTTCAATTTTCATTAGACAAAAATCAATAGAATCGAATAATGCTGTATCTTTACCTTCACATTTTAAATGTTGTAAAAATGTTAAATGAGTTTCATCGATTATTTCGAAATCAAATCGTTGTAATGAAGATGTATCAAATGTAACTAATGAAATTTTTTCAGTCATTTTATTCAACCTATAAAAATGATATATTTAATAAATAATTACAAATAAAAAACAATTATAATCAATAATGTTTACTTTAATTTAAAAAAATCGTTTAAAAACTCTATAGCATATGTGAATCGACTTTCGCCTATGACAAAAGGAAGCCAACGATCGGAATACCACATTGAAGTACTAGTATCAAGTAGAAAAAGATAATAAGTAGGAGGCATTTCTAAAATGAATCGATATTCATCAGCAATTTTCAATAGAGTATAATTATCTATTAAATCATTTTCATTTATAATTTGACGACATTCTTGTGCTGGACATATTCTTCCAATACATGTACGATCAAATGAAATACCACAAAGTCTATGAACAACTGGACTTGTATATATGTTCTTACAAACTTTACATTTAAAATCATCGTTGTTTGTCGCCATTACGATAAAACATTGATATACTATAATATTACGACGTCTTCTTATCTGTTTATTTTTGTCTGTTTTTTTTTTCTTCTTTTATCATTTACGTTGTAAAATGTCTTTTTCCGAGGATGTCATTGATTTAAAATGTCCTCTTTGTTTTCGTCGTTTTTATGACCCTATTATTCTTGATTGTGGACATACATTTGATCGATTATGTATACAAAAACAGATAGATTTAAATGAATCATTCAATCCAAAAAGATCGAGTCAATGTCCTCTATGTATATTTACATTTGATTCAAGAAATTCTTTGATATCGAATCAATCTTTAAATAATATTATTAAATCTGAACCAACATTTGAATGGTTTTTCATTGATATATCTCATAAACAAAACACAGACGTTCTTATATTTCTTAAACGTGTATTTGATAAAAGGTAAATGAAAACATATAGAATTAAACATTTAGAAGAAAACAAAATAACAAAAGATTTTTCTTTGATTTTTAGAGATATATTTCAAACAAATCGTATTATTTTTGAAACTAATGATATAAGATTAGTATTTAATTCTAATATAAATTTTGATCAAGAATTAAAACTAAAATCTATATCAAATTTAAATAATATGTTACAAGAAGCTTGTAATTATTTACAACAACAAGATGGTCTTCGAAAAATTTGTATTCTTACTGATGGCTTAATAAAACATTCAAATTTAATAAAGATTAATTCGAATATAATTAATCAACGTTTTATTATTCATGTTGGAGATAAAAATATTACACGTACTCGTCAACTTGCTGACGATATTAATTTTCATTTTGAACATTTCAATAAGCGAACATTTGATATTTATGTACAGCATTTTATTTTAAATTTTTAAACTAATAATTTTTCTATAAACTAGAATAAAAAGTCATAAATATATTTTCCGAATATTTTAAAGGTAATTAGTTATAAAGGAAAAAACCAAAAACGTATAGTTTTTTCAAACAAACCTTCGAATATCGTAAATATTACATGTGGCCTCAACAGACGAATAGGAATTCTGCTCTTGCATATCGCTTGGTAACACATACAGCAATTAGATATACTATGAAAAGCAAAAACATGTTTATTAATTTTAAGTGCATAAGTAAAAATCGAAAGTTGAGTACAAAAAGTTTAGAACGCTGTCAGCTTGGATTCATGTATAAGTTATGTCGGAGTATTCTCTATTTTCAACCTCCACTATTCGATTTAGAACTGAAGCCATTTTCTCAGCATCAACAGCAGTCATCAAGAGCT